AGAAAGCCATTACTTTGCAAAGGCAAGAAAGTAGCTGCTTACAATGTGCCACACAGCTCAGAGACTTCTGAAACAAAATTATTTGGAAGGGTGAGACCGAAATGGAACTTTTTGGACTCAACCATAATTTAAATCTAAGATGAAAAGAAACCCCACCCCCACTGTGAAACACGGAGGCGGGTCACTGATGTTTTGGGGATGTTTGGGCTCCAAAGGCACGTTGAACTTGATGGGAAGATGAATGCATGTATTCAAAGGACAAGATACAGGACGTGCAGTTCATGCAGTTCAGTCTCAAGTTGGAGTCTTTTTGCCGAGAATAATGAGCTACTTTACCAACAGAGAAGAACCTCATCGACAACTACCCCAAGAGACTTCGGGCTGTCATTGATGTTAAAGGGAAGATACACAATTTTAACCTGCTGGGGTGTCTCATCAGAGTCATGTAAACATTTACAACACTCTATATAGTCACAGAGCCCTGATTCTGTCAGCAAGAAAACTCTTCAGTGAGATTCTGCACGGAGCTAGGAGAGAGGTGAGCTCATGACACACCTGTAGAGAACTCTCACTGAACCTGCTCATCTGCCCCCTCTTCTCTAAAAGTCATCTGAGGACTCTGTTGGGGAAAACTGTCTCAGCAAAGAGACCATTCAGCTTTCTACAAAGGGACTTGGTCTCTCACAGGAGGATGACTGGCTTTCAGAAACAGAGACTTAGTCTCAACAGAAGGAACAGAAGATCATTGACCCAACAACTGCTCTCACGGTCATTTGCAAAGTTTCCGTTTATTATTTTAAATAACTAAAACAGTATTTTGACAATGAATAACTTCACCCAACCACTGTCTATGAGTAGGGGAAAAAAGTTTTTGTGTTAAATGTTAAGTTTTCTAAAAATAGGCCAAGAAGTTTATATTTTTCTGTTCAAGTTCACAATGAATACGATTAAATCAGCAATGAAACCATGGGTTGTTATTGCATATGGTCTTAACAAAGATTCAGTGTTACTTGAGCAGCTTTTTCAGAATTGTTGTGTTTCTATACATCACAGTGTATTGTGATGATCAGCATAGTTTAATCTAGATTAACATAAAAAACTATTTCGCATTTCATGTGAATTATTTGGCATCACATAGGTGCTAAAATATTAAAGCTTGCTTTTAAGAATTTCCTTAATACTCTAAATGGGTGCTTTAAATGTTTTGAATTGATGAAAAGGACCAAAACTTTCAAACTATAAATATGTGTGTGTATTAAAACACCCACATCCCCCGCAGGATACTGAATTCACTTGGTGTGCTGCACACATAACATTTGTATTGTTTTTGTTCAGCTTCTCTCCCCTACTGATTTCAACAGGATATTTTATACTTTACAAAATGTAAAATAAAGTCTCAGAAATATGCCATCTGTACCAATAGCACACAGGTCCTAATTAAGGGTGTAATGTTCCTCAATAAACCCCTCATTCCCCAGAATGATAACAATACATGAGTGCTGTCTGGTCCTAATTATTTCTTGATTTGAGGAAAGTGACTAAACTTGAAAGACAGCAACTATCCCTCTTCTGATTGTGTAACTATGCACTGCTGTATTGATTAAAAGCATTTAAAATGTGTAACAAATGTCTTCTATTGCTCAAAAGAAAATAAAAGCTGTGTACGACTCGGATCCAGAAAAATACGAGACTCTTCAGAAGATGCTGCTGACTGAGAAAAGCACCTATGGCTCCGAGTGGCCTAAAGTTGGAGCTACATTGGCACTTATGTGGTTGAAGAGGTCATTTCTACACACACCCTCATTTTACGGACGCATGTTTGGTTGTTCAAGTTCAAGTTCAAGTTTGTTTAATTTATATAGCGCTTTTCACAACAGACATTGTCTCAAAGCAGCTTTACAGTAAACCAACAAGTTTAAACTCAACAAGTTGTTAAACAAAACAATAATGATTTCATGATTAAAATAATATATCAATATAAAATGAATGACCTTAATTCATTTTGAAAGTCTTTGATTCAAGCAGAATGTATCCAAAATGTAAACAATGTTAATATTAATGCAGATTTCATTTAATAGTCTAGGACACATGTGTAAAACTCAAGGCCCATCTGGCCCGCCGTGTAACCTAATGTGGCCCGCGAGAGCTTAAAAGTTTTGAGTGTCTAAAAATAAAAACGAAAAAAACTTCATCCCCCACAATGCCTTTGCACTTAGCCAGATCTTTAGCGATGTGTTAGCGGAGTAATCATTGTAAATATAATGTTTATACTGTATATAATAGCATAAGCATCATCTTAGTAGTAGTAATAATAGGTTTATTAGTGTTTGAACTGTTTTTTTTTCCGCGTTCGGTCCGTGATTCTTCTTCCGCATTCGCGCAAGTGCGTCTTTTTTTCCTTTTTTTCATTATTCCGCCGTTTTTGGCACACTAAACTGTTAGATTTCAGTACCAAAACAATTGTAAATAGTGAAAGAAGATGTTTATACCATCATCGAGAGCCCCTGTGAGTTGTGAAACACAAACAGCAACAGCAGGGGGCGTGTCACTGTGTCAATCACAGTCATATGTAATAAACGTTTTTATGCACAGAGACTATTCCCAACAATGTTTTTCAATATACGTATAGTGTAATTTTTGACATTATATAATATTGCTTTAAAACGGCTCTTGATTCCAACAACAAATGGCTTCATTAATGGAGTTATGTGGGTTTTCATAAGCTGACAAAAAAACAAAAGGATTTGTATTAGAACAACAAGCATACCATTGTTTCTATGCAACTGAATTGTCACTTGAATAAGTTATAAATAATGAATTATTTAACATTAAGGAGTAGTTACATTTATTTTACATTACATTCGATTACATTGTTTTACATTTATAAGTTACATCTGGCCCTTTGAGGACAGCCATTATTCTAATGTGGCCCTCTGTGAAAATGAGTTTGACATCCGTGGTCTAGGACAAGCACTAAATAGTGGGTTATATAGCTTTATTTTTGTGACATTTTTATATATACTTCTATAATCTATAGAGTTTTAATCTTGAAAATGTTTACAAATAACATCCAATTTTTTCAATAACATCCAAAGACATTTCTGTGGGATCACAAACTGAAAATCACAAAATGTCCCTGGTTTCTTATGCAACCCGTGTTTTAGAGAGGTCTAAGAACCACTAGTGCAGGAGTGGGGCCATCGTTTCAGAGCTCCATCTCCTGTTCTCACATGCAGCCTGTCATACACAACTCATTTTGTAGCAAGTATTTGAGAATTCGATCGTTGGCAACGTAAATTATCTTTCTCACGACATGACAGCGGTCAGTCAGCTCAGTTCAATGTACACAAAAATTTTTGTAAATAATGTAATTTATGGGGAAATAATTTGAGGTTTTCCATAGTTATTTTTGGGATGGATCATTCTGCAGCCGTCCACATTGGGGCGATAGCTGTGCTTTTGCTTCACTCAGCCGGCCATGTAAGACACGCTTTATCAGATCCAAGTCACAAGAATTGGGTCACCTTCGACTGGTGGTGTAAACAGGGCCACAAGGGAATGCTTTAGCGCAGGTGTGCAAAGCTCTCCAAAGAACAAAATGAAAACAACACAGAAGTTTTTAGTTGTAATCCATTTTTTCCTCACAGGGGGCTGCGGTTCATTCAAATTCTACTGCAGAGTCTTGTGGACAGAGAGAGGGATGAACAAAACCCCAATTTGATCCGCATCAATATCACCAAAGCTTATGATCAAGCCCTCAAGAAATACCATGGGTGGATTGTCCAGAATGTTTTTAAAGTAGGTGTTTCACATATCAACATGTTTTAGCAGAAAGAAAGTTTGCAAAGAGGTTTATTTCATTAGTAGAAGGTTTTTTGTAAATACCTATTCTTTATTTATTAGGCCTGTAACAATATATTGTGGCACAACATATCACAATAATAAAAAAATTATATTGGAAGATACCATCTAGGAGCTGAAGTGTATTTGCTTCTTAGAGTGATTGTGAATCTAGTCACTTCTGAAACTTCTTACCTTGTCTTCTTGTTTTATGTAATATTTATTAGGAGACAATTATCCTTTACTCTCATAGTAAACAAGAAAGCTTATTAATTAAAAGAGTAAACGAGATTACAGTAAAAGAGATGACTTAATGCAAACATTATTACAACATTATGCAATATCATTCTGCAATTCATCTTCTGTGCTATATCACTCATCTATTTATTTATATCTATTTATTTCTCCTTTAAATGTTTATTTTATTCTTCCTATTTATTTCCTATTTTCTTCCTGTCAATTAGAAATGTGCAACTGGTAGCTTCTGTCACCAAAGCAAACTCCTTGTAAGTGCAAACCTACTTGGCAATAAAGCTCTTTCTGATCCTGATTCTGATTAATACTGCCCCCTAGTGCAGGGATGGTATCAAATACTCCCATACAAATCAAACTAGACCCTAGCCTTCCTAGCTTTGTGGTATCAAAATGTTTTAAATACTGTTTCTTACAATGATGGTTCATTAAATAAACAGTTTCAATAGTTGGTTAAAAGTTGTTGTAAAATATTGTGATGCGGGCGGCACTGTGGCATAGTGAGCCAGTTAAAAGGTTTTCGGTTTAAGGCTCACCGGTGACCTTCCTGTAAGGAGTTTGCATGTTCTCCCTGTGCTTTTCTGGGTTTCTTCCAGGTACTCGGTTTCCCCCACAATCCCAAAAACATGTGATTAGGTTAATTGAATAATCTAAATTCCCCTTAGGTGTGAATGTGTGAGTGAATGTTGCCCTGTGATGGACTGGCGACCTATCCAGAGTGTGCTCTCGCCCAATGTGTGCTAGAGATTGCCACACGGCGGCAGACCCCCGTGACCCCCAAAAGGGAATTAACGAGTTGGAAAAGGAATGAATAAATGAATGAATATTGTGATGCATTTATGCATTCGGCAGACACTTTTATCCAAAGCAACTTACATTTGGATGAACATTTTTTTTCTGTCAGTTCTTGCTTTCCCTGGGATTTGAACCCACGATCTTTGCATTGCTGGCGCAATGCTCTACCAACTGAGCCACAGGAAAGCTATATTGTATTGTATTGTATTGTGGTCATAATATTGAGGTATGCATCGTATCGTGAGCAGAGAGCATCGTTATACCCATATTATTCATGTTATTAATTTGTCTGAGGAATGTTGACCCATGGTTTGTTTGCTTCTGCTGCAGGCTGCATTACTCGCTGCACCTTGCCGCTCAGATTTTCTTAAAGCCTTGTCTCAGGACCAAGACCTTTCAGAAGAGGATTGCTTAGCAAAGATTCACCAGTTCTTGATCAACTTTACAGCAAATGTAGATGCCATTTATGAGCTGTATTTCACATTGAACGCTGAACTGGACTATTTAGTTTGAAACAGCTGATGGAAACCTGTTGTCTATAAAGATTAATACACAGTGACAAAGAAAAGTGATGGACTGGTTTTCTCTGTGTTGTATAACTTTTAGCAAGTGATGGGAAGAATGGCCTAACCAACTAATGGCATTCTTTTACTCCGGTAACGAAAAGTAATCAAAATAATTGTCGATAATGCTGTTATAGTTAGTAAAAATAAGTTTGCAGGTAACTGAAACAAAGCTTGACTTCTTGAATCTCTTGTCTGAATGACTTCTCTGTTCTGAGGGCAGCTGTCCGTTGAGTTGATGTGGCGCAATAACGATTAAACTTGAGAATATATGATCTAGTGTACAGCGCTATACAGTGTTTGGCTAATGTACTGGGCCACTGATGCTCTGCAAAAGTTTGTGCACCCCTGTACATTTTTTTATGATTTTCAAGTTTTTGGTTGTCTGGATAAGAAATTTCAGTGATATATATCATACAGGAGACATACACAGTGATATTTGAGAAGTCACTTAAAGTTATTATTTTAGGTTTCAATAAAATTATTTGCAACAAAAATAGGCTTGTGCGTACATTTAGACACCTTTTATAGATTTCAATACATATTTACTACAACTCAAAATTGGTTTAGACCTCCATACACAGGTGAACCGAACTGTATCTCCTCTGTGCAAGAGTATCAACACAGGAGCCTCCAAACAACTCTCAGATGAGCTGAAAACAAAGAATGTTGAGCATTGTGGTTTATAGGAATGATGCAGAGAGCTGTCTCAGAGATTTAAGCTCTTGGTTTCAACTGCTGAACATTGTGAGTAATTGGAAGACCAGATGCACTGTTCTGGTTAAGGCCTGAGGTTGCAGACCAAACAAAACTCAGATCAGCAAAGGCACAGGATGGTGAGAACAGTCACAATCAACCCACAGACTTGTCTTGTTTTGCAGTGTTCTGCTGCGTGAATGACTAAATTGAATTAATTGGGTAAAACTAAGTAGTGTTATGCTGCGATGGACTGGCGACCTCTGCTGGCACTGGCAGACCCCTGTTACCCCAAAAAAGGAATAAGTGGGTTGGAAAGTGAATGAATTAATGAATGAATAAAAAGTGGTGTTATGCAAAATGGAAAAACAACACAGTATTCCAAGAATAACACTTGTTACTTACAGTAAAATTTGGTGGTGGTTCCAACATGCTGTGTGGCCAGTGCAGGGACTTTTTTCCTGCTTAAACTCTATTTAAAGCCCCCAAGCACAAAAATGTAATCATATCACTAAGCAATATAGTTTAGCATTTCGTAACCCCCTACTATTTAATTTTATTTAGGTTTTGTGTTTTTTAAAGTCCTGTTTTAAAATCTTAATTGTTAATAGCTGAAACCATGTATATTGTCATCCTGGTTTGTTTGTTTAAAATTGTACGTCTATTGTCTTTCGTGTAAATGAGTATTTAAACTGAACTAGACTAACTATTATAATAAAACAAAATCAGATGTGTTACAAGCCATACACACGTTTAGTTTTTTTCTTATTTATTCAGTTTGTGGTGTGTTAATATTGTTTGCATACAGTTTGAATGGCCACTTTGGACTCCGTTCCAGTAGATGGCGTAAAATCACATTTCAAGGTTGGTTTGCCAAACGCCGTTTAACAACACACGAAGAAGAAGAAGAGTTCCGGTGGTCGTTGCGTTCCTCCGTCGATTCCGATCGAAGAGATCTGCGATCAACTCTCACCGATGGACGAGTAGTATGGACCTGGTGAGATCGAGAGAAATGATGGGGGGAAGAGAGAGTTGATGGATAAAAAGGGGCTGAGTCGAGCGAGCGAGCGAAAGGCTGTTCCGCGTCTCTTTGTTTACATTCTGCGTCCGAGAGTATGGCTCTGTTTGGCTTGTTTAACGTAGACCCAAACGTTATTGCAAGACAATTGCTGCAGTTCTTTAAGCTGTAGCGTGGATAAAAGCGCAGATACATTTGATCGCACGTCTCGTCTACGGAAAAGGATCTCAGAAGTTAAACACAGTTTGATTGACAGGTTTTGGACCAATCACTTCAAAGAAATCTATACAAACTTGCAGGCTTTCCAGTGAAGGGTTTGCGTTTAGTGCTCACAGTAATCCGGACAGGTGACAGTAGACCGATCATGTTCTAAAAGGGTTGAATCTCAAGTAGTGATAGAAAATATTCCTGTTGATAAATGCACCTCCTCGTTTCATGACGGCTTAAATACACTAACGTTATATACCGCAATGAAACCTCGAAACGGTTAACATTAAAACGAAGTACCCCGAAGCTTCGGGGTTCATCGCAGGACTCAGAGCTCTGACCCATATTTGTGTGCTTTATGTGTGGCCCTTAAAGTAAAAATCTTTTGTTCGAGAAAGTAGGTACTGTGGGTAAAGTGTGCAGGTTTGTCTTCCTCGGGCATCATTCAGTTGCCTAGTTACAAGGTTGTCATGTGTTGTTAGTGTGTTTATCTTGGTTTTGTGGTGTTAATATCAGAATTTTAACACTTAAAAGCTCAGTTGTTCTTCTGTGCTTCTAATCTTGTGTGCTTCTATATTTATTTTGTTTAATTTAGCTACAAATTAAGTAACTTAACTCTTGTCCAGAGACTAAATAACCCACGCCACAATATGTTTTAACCCTCTTAGTGGCTTTGCATTGCAGTTGGCAAATTCACAAGTAGGTGAAAAGTTACTTTTGATTAAATCTACTTTTGATAATGGGTGGGAAGTTTCTCATATTTGTTTTCTATGTGATATTTACATTTTCTTTATAGAGTCACCGTTTTATCCAGAGAAGACTTCTATAAAACAACAAAACCACAGGACTTTTTGTAATGGGTGGGGGATATTTTCTTGGGTCCATTAATACCAATTGAGGATTGCGTCAACGCCACTGCCTATTTTAGTATTGTTGCTCATGTCCATCCCTTTAAGACCACCCTGTACCCATCTTCTGATTGCTACTTCCAGAAATCTGATGTCATAAACTGTGAATCAGCTCAGACTAGTTTCTTGAACATGCCGATGAGTTCACTGTACTGAACCCTTCTTTGGGATGTGGTGGAACGGGAGATTTGCATCATGGATCTGCAGCCATCAAATCTGCAGGAATTTGCGATCATGTCGATATGGAGCAAACTCTCTGAGGAATGTTTCAAGTACCTTGTTAAGTCTATGCCATGGAGAATTAAGGCAGAACTGAAGGCAAAAGGGGGCTCGACTCAGTACTAGAAAGATGTACCTAATAAAGCTGCTGAGGAGTGTAAATAAGTTATGCTTCACTTTGCCTATAGAAACCCTCAAAAGATCCCAATTGACAAAAATGAGCATACACCAGAGTTGAAGCTTGCCTGGTGACGCACATATTCCGATGTTCATTTCACAGTTCAAAACATGACTGTGAGTGTAAAAGCTGAGGCACACAAGGTTGTTGTGTATATTTGACTCTGATGCACATGGTCCCAGAAGTTTCTCTGGTGCTACATTGGCTAATTAATGGATAGGATTTCCCTTTTAATCGTCCAAAAATTCTCCAAAATGTTAAGGTCTGTGTTGGCCTTTTTTCATGCTATTAGCGTTTGTTTATGTTCTCTCTGTTGCAGGACTTTGTCAGCAAACTGCCCCTGTCTCCATCGACACATGCCAAACTGCCCCTGACTGCCCTTCCCAACCCCCAGCTGCTGCCCCCGAGCTCAAGAGGAGTGCGGGTCAAACAGGAGGAGAGCGTGGAGGAGTTTTATCACTTCGGTGAGAGACCATTCTGATCATTCATGAAAGGATTCAAAACTTTGGACCCCTCTTACCTTTTAAACCACCCTACATTGAAAATCAGCCAGTTCCAACTAGAGTTTCTACCTCTGGAGCTTTACCCATGAGGCTACCTCTGGGCCTCAGTTCTTTTTTGCTTATGTGTGGATTAACAAATAGAAAAATAATAATTACAAAGTAGTTCACATCCCCTGTGCTTTAATTTTGTAACCTTTATAATAATAGTAATCTCTAGTGACATTATTAATCTCTAGCTTGGAGTTTTGAGCTGGGAATCTTCATTCAACCCATTTTCACACAAATTAAATAGTATGAAGTTAACGTTTGTTTATAGGGCACTTAAACTACCTTTAAATGCTGTACCTGAGTAATATCGACAAAATACATTAGACATACAAAAGAAAATAAAACGTATATAAAATATGTGCACAATAATGTCCTGTCCAAACTGTGATAAATGCCACTCTAAAAGTTTTCCCCAAACGTCATAACTCCGCACCAACAGTTTTTAATCGTTTTATAACCATTCCATGAAGACGGAACAGAAACAGGTCATTTTCCAGATGATCACAGTCAATAAAGTTCAGTGGTGACATACCAAAGTCACCGGGAGGTGACAGGAGAGACTGCGGGACGCGTCTCACTTGAGCATGGCAGTAAGGGTTCTGTGTGCATGTGGGTTCTGACGCTGTTTTACCATCTATTCTCAAACCAGCCACTGATTCATTTTCAGGAAACTGTATCCACACAGCAAAAAAAAAAAAAAACATAAAACGTCAATTCATATTGAGATTGGTGCCAAGCATCTGGATGTTATCCAGTACATGCCTTAAACCATGATAACAGGGAATAGCATGAAATTTGGTTTCATCCACCATTGGACAAACAAAATAGATGCTAGATCACAGGGCATG